GGAATCCAGTTTGACTTTCGATGGAGTGTATTTGTCTGGGTCAGTCAGATACAGTATCATCGAGTTAATTGCAGGATCATCCAACTTCTGAAGTTGGATGATGTCTGGGTCAGTTGAAAATGACTTTTCATATTTTAAAAGAACTTGGCGAGGTTTGTCTCTTTCTTCATCAGATGTCAGAGTGTCGGCTTGGGCGACCACCTGTTCAATCTGTGATGAGACTGATGAGGGTTCTCGCTCCTTGGGGAGCTCCAACGAATCCTTTTCTGAGTCGTCGGACCTGTCTATGGGCAAGGCACCATAGGTTTGTGGTCCTTGGTCGACGTCATTGGTTGAGAAAAGAGCAACTAGCATGTTACATTTAGCCTGAAATAGTTCGTCAATTTTTAGTCTTTTAAACTGTCAAAATGCACTTTTTTCTGTTAAAAATTGTAACGAATCAATTCTGAGTTGCACGGAGTCTGCTACTCCGGTCTCAAAACGTCTTTCTAGCTATTTAAACAACTCGTCCGAACCTTCTCAGAACCGAGCCGGTACCAGAACCACGTCTGGACCGCCTTTAAACAGAATAAAGCGTTTCCACACAAACCCAGCTTTTAGTTACCATAACAGGCGTACAATTTCAGCTTTCATAAAGACTCAATGACACTATTTCAGCTTTCATAACATCGCCAGCGTAATACAGCGTAAACATGCAGAGCCAAGCTCCAAGCGGCGCAGCTTCAGAGGCGTTTCAGCACAGCTGACAAACTGTTATTTTTCATGCCAACACGTAAAATCAAACTTTACACGAATACACAGTCCATTTTATGAACACGTGACGGGCCACCAAAATGTAGATGAACAGATGCTCAGATATATTCATCAATTAACACGGATTCCTCATTTTTCTGGACTGAATAAAACCCGAAAAAATAAGGAAACCCGATGCGGCTAGCGAACGCACTACCGCCGGCTCAACAGAAACAAAACAACTTACCAGTTGAAGTACAATTGTTTAGAGTGTAGGGGAACACCACCTTTGAACAGAATTCACCTCATCTCAAAACAAACATCATTCATGTGTTTTGTGTTTGAAACTGTTAAAACAAGATGCATTTATTCTCTTGGGAACAAACAGACTTTATTTTACAGGTGTTAAACTCAGCTTACAAACTCCTTAGTTGCCACTAATCTAATGTAATGAAAACTGTCATTGTGTTAACTTCACTGCCAATATGAACTCATTTCCCACGAAACGGACAGATCGTCTTAATGAGAGCTGTGGTTCATATTGACCTCGAGGTGAGACACCTGCCGAGGAGTTTACTCCCAGGATTTTCCCATGGACATAACAGTTTTAAAAGAATCCTTTGTTTTAAATGACATTCTCTTTCAGGAGATGAACAGCGACACCTGTTGGATAAACATTGCATGTTATTTCCACAGCTTCAGGACTGAATGTTTGTTATTGAAAATGTGTGTTAAAGTAACCTTTCTTTAAGATAATCATGTTTATTTTTCTCCTTTTAAAAGAAGTGTGACTTTTTAAAGGCAGACAGAGAAAATGGACTGTGATTTTTATAAAACATGACAGAGTTTATGAACCATCCCTCTTCCGAGGGGAGGTCCTTAGTCAATCTGGAACACACAGACAGACATTTCACTTCATCCTCTAAACCACTTCCTCAAGCACTTCACCGCTCTTTCTACATCAACGAACTTTGAGAAAACTCCAGAGAAAGACGCATCCTCCCAGAGAGATGTCCTGGGAAGAAAGAGGACCAGAAGCAGAACCTGGCATTAAACTGAGACCCGAACCAGAACATCACACCGCAGAGTGGTAAATCCCAGCTGACCTCAAAGAGCCAGTGATCGGACCTTGGTCCCTCCAACGGATGACAGGTGACCTTTGAGGATAAATCCTCCTTTTAAGTCACCCATAGCATCTCAGGTACCACTGGCATCACTCATAAGCAGTTGTGGACATTCCGACGACTCATTCTGGTAGGATAAGAGACCTTTAATGCCTTTCTGGTGATCATACATCAATTATATTGCTTTTTATACACTACAGTTAATTAAGACACAACTTTGACTACACCTCAAACAGAACCAGTCCAAAAATCTGCCTTTTTAAAAGTTACACTGAATTTAATAATCAAGTAACCTTTGATACAAATAAATTTGGTTATTAATTTGTGTATTAATTTTAAGCATAATCTTCATCAGATAAATCACAGATTATTATTTTTGTAATAAAATTCACTAAAAGTGTGATTATTTTGGCATATCTGTGTGTATTCACAGTCCACTTCCGGTGAGCAAACGCTGGCACATCCTGGCTGCTGCTGCTCGTCGTGCTATTTTGTTTTTTTGTTTTATTCAATCCTTCCTGCCTTTTCCACTACACCAAGTCTCTGATCCGTCTCAATATCAACCATGCGTCTGGCCTCCTCCATTACTCAGCGGTCAAGCTCCGCCTTCATTTCCTACCAGCCGTGCCACTTGTGCTTCCTCTTCAGGACATTGCCTTCCATCCTCGCCGGAGATACATTCACCGTGGCTCCCGCCGTAGACTCCACGCTGACAAGTCTAACCCCATAAACTCCATCTGGTCTGACCATCACCATTCTACACGATGCAATACTCGGGCCGCTAACAGTAGTAGCATGTTAGCCAGCCTAGCTCGGTCGGCTAATGCTCCGGTCGCTACCAACTCCTCCCCCGTAAAGTTTGGCCTTCTGAACATTCGCTCCCTCACTGGCAAAGGTCAGCTTATTCAAGACCTAATATCCGACCATAAGCTAGATTTTATTTGTCTAACAGAAACGTGGCAACAACAAAACAACTTTTTCCATCTGAATGAATCTACCCCACTGGGGTTTGTTTACATCGCCAAATCCCACGAGTCCGGCTGCGGAGGAGGTCTCGCGATAATTCACTGTGAGAACTGGAAGGTCACGCTGGTTCACACACCTCCCTCTCCCTCCTTTGAGCACATTGTGTGTCTACTCTCTGGCCCTACCCCCACCGTTGTTGCCACTTTCTACCGTCCGCCCAAAATCAACAACTCTTTTATAAATGACTTTGCTGCTCTAATCGCCCATCTCTCAGCTCTTTTACCCAACATTATTCTGCTTGGAGACTTCAACATTCATATGGATGAAGACAACAACCCCCTCACCAGAGACTTCCCATCCTGCCTCGACAGCTGTGGCTTCCAGCAATTCATTAACTTTCCAACCCACATAAAGGGCCACACTTTGGACTTATTATGTTGCTCTGGACTCTCTCCTTTTAACTGTTCTGATGAACTTCCATTTACTGATCACCTCATGATTTCATTCAGTGTCAATCTTAAACTTTCTTCAGAGAAACCTCAACGCACTCTTTCCTTCCGTAAGAATATCAACCATGACATTCTTTTGTCTCATGTTAATACCATCTTCACCTTCAATTCTTTTAACCCAGATTTAACTTACGTTCTACAACAACAGCCTCACCAACATCCTTAACTCTGTTGCTCCTCTGAAAACCCAGTCTGTCTCCTTCTCCAACTCTGCACCCTGGTTCACTCCAGAACTCCGTTCTCTGAAATCCAAAGGTCGGAAGTTGGAGCGACTATAAAAAATCCGGTCTCTCAATTCACAAGGAACTCTATGTGAATCACGTCATCCAGTATAAGGACAGTATTTCTCAAGCCAAATCCAGCTACTTCACTGACATCATCAGTTCCAATGTTGGCAATTCAAAGACTTTGTTCTCTCTCCTTAACCGTTCAGTCTCATCACCTAACTCATTACCCACTCACATGGTTTCCACAGAATTTTGCAACTCTGATGTCTTATTTCAATGAAAAGATTCTTTGAATACATAAACACATTGGACCTAATACCGCCCCCAGCATCTATGTTGAACTCCCTCCCCTTCTCTGTCTTCTCCCTCCCATCTGCTGATGACATTGCTGACATTATCAGCAAGTCTAAGTCCTCATCCTGTCAGCTCTATCCATTTCCCACAGTTCTTGTTAAATCCTGTCTCCCGTCTCTGCTCCCCATCATCACTAACATCATCCACTCCTCCCTAACCTCTGGCATTGTTCCCATAGCTTTCAAATCTGCAGCCATCACCCCCATCATCAAAAAAACAGGTCTTGACTTTACCAACTTCAGTAATCTTCGTCCAATCTCTAATCTGCCCTTTATTTCCAGAGTTCTTGAAAAAGCCGTTGCTAGTCAACGTCAATCTCACCTATCCAACAATAACATTTATGAAGAGTTTCAATCTGGTTTTCGCCCCCACCATAGCACTGAAACAGCTCTAATAAAAATAACTAATGACCTTCTTCTTGCTGCTGACTCTGCTCTTCTGTCTATCCTCATTCTACTTGATCTAAGTTCTGCCTTCGACACAATCTGTCATTCTATCCTCCTCAACAGACTAACCTCTATTGGCATCTCCGGTACTCTGTTAGAATGGTTCAAATCATATCTCTCTGATCGCACTCAATTCCTTTCGTTCCCAGTCTTCCCCTATCTCCACAGGTGTCCCCCAAGGCTCTGTCCTCGGACGCCTCCTCTTCATCATTTACCTCCTTCCTCTAGGTCACGTCTTCCGTAAATTTGGTGTCCATTTTCACTGTTATGCTGATGACACAGCTCTACTTGTCAACAAAACCAAACTCCACCCACCTACTCTCCATCCTCACAACTGTCTCAATGAGCTAAATCACTGGTTTTCTAACAATTTCCTACAACTAAACAGTGACAAAACAGAAATCATTCTTGTCGGTACCAAAAACTCTATTTCAAAATCAGAAAATTTTCTCATCCACCTTAACAACTCTCTGCTATCCCCCTCGCCTCAGGTCAAGAGTCTTGGTGTCATCCTCGACACCACTCTCTCCTTCACTTCACACATCAACAATGTTACTCGGTCTGCCTATTTCCATCTCTGAAATATTAACCGTCTCCGCCCTTCTCTCACACCCCGCTCCACAGCCATCCTTGTTCACAGTCTTGTGACTTCTCGGATGGACTACTGCAACTCCCTTCTTTATGGCCTCCCCAACAAATCTCTCCAGAAGCTGCAATTGGTCCAGAACTCAGCTGCCCATGTCATAACTCAAACCTCCTCCTATAACCACATCACTCCAGTCCTGCAGCAGCTCCACTGGCTACTGGTTAAATCACGCATCATCTTCAAAATTCTTCTTCTCACTTTCAAAGCTATCCACAACCTTGCCCCTCTGTACCTATCTGACCTCTTACACATCTCCATCCCCTCTCGCTCTCTCAGATCCTCCTCATCACTACACCTCCATGTACCCTCTGCCCGCCTCTCCACCATGGGGAGCAGGGCCTTCACCTGCTCTGCCCCTCATCTCTGGAACTCTCTACTGCCTGACTTACGAAACACCACCTCTCTTTCTCTATTCAAGACTGCTCTGAAAACACATCTCTTTAGACTCGCTTATCCTTAACTTTGCTGTATATATTTTATATTCTTTATGCATTTTATATTCTGTATGTATTTTATATTATTTAAGTATTTTATATTCTGTATGTATTTTATATTCTTTATGTAATTTTTCCTGTTGATCTTTGTTCTTACTGTAAAGTGTCCTTGGGTGTCCTGAAAGGCACTTTTTAAATAAAATGAGGATTATTATTATTATATTATTATTAACTGATTTGATGCCCTTTAAACATGAGAAAAGGATTCACGTTTCAGTTTAGTTAATTTAAGGGTTAGAGACTGATTTTTCCTCTTAAAGAGGTGGTGCCCGCGTAACGAGGTTATTTGCATAATAAATGCATGTCTTATGAACTTAACTCATAACTAATAAATTATATAGATATCCAATCACAAATCCCTCTACATATTGGTGTCCCGTGTGAGGCACAAACTCACGACCTTCAATAACAAACATTCAGTCCTGAAGCTGTGGAAATAACAGGCAATGTTCATCCAACAGGTGTCGTTGTTCATCTCCTGAAAGAGAACGTCATTTAAAACAAAGGATTCTTTTAAAACTGTTATCTCCATGGGAAAATCCTGGGAGTAAACTCCTCGGCAGGTGTCCCACCTCGAGGTCAATATGAACCACAGCTTTCATTAAGACGATCTGTCCATTTCGTGGGAAATGAGTTCATACTGGTGTAGATGAACATATACGTGAGATATATTCATCAATTAAACAGATTCTTTCATTTTTCTGGACTGTATATAACGTGCATTGAATTTAATAAAATGTGGACGAGACGTTAATTATCTTTGACTCACCACGACAGTGGGTCATTTATTAACAGAATCAAGTTTAACACATCACACATTTACATTAATTGGCAAAATATGGAAAATAACAACATGGCTAGTTTTAGCAAACTGTACAATTTTGATTATCCACACGGCGGTGGATGAGAACTTTACACAGACATTTCTAAAATATCTGGAGTGATTTCTATTTGATAGAAGAATTTAAAGATGGAAGATGAAGTTTAGAGGGAGGGAGATGGTGTGTGAGGGGAAAGTGTTGAACAGAACGACACCCTCCATTCGAACCCAGCTTTCCTCGGTACGCTCGGTAGTAAACTCGACTCGTTACCTCTCTGAAGATGAATCAGCGGATACAGAGTTCCAGTTAACGCTACCGGTCCAGCGTCTCCGTAGGATGGCTGTGAATCGTCCGAAGTAGTGACGGTATTCCGTCCGACACGGTTCACCTCACGAGTGAACTCACATGAGTGGAGTCCGTCAGAGTTCCACCCAGATGTGGAAGAAAGTTATAATCCCATAAGACTCGGAAGAGCTCTGTGGTCATGTCAGGATTTTCCTGTTTCCCAGCACGGGAACTCGACCGCAACCTCGGCTCGACTCAACTGGAACTTCGACCCAACAGGAACTGGAGTGAACTAGGAAGTACCGACATTTAAAGAGCTCTATTTCCGGTTCATCTGGGAGTTTCTGATTGGTCAATATCGACCAGACAGGGGTGTGTTTTGTGACGTAAGAGGTCACTAGAAGTCAGAAAAACAGCAGGAATGTTATGGAACAGATTGAAAATGTTTTTAGAGACAGCGAGAGAAATGTTTGGATGGGTTGGCGGAAAACATTTGCCAACAGGTGCCAGCTTCTCTATTTACGTCTGAGAGGATGTAAAAACAAGACAGCTCGTTCCAACACTTGTCTGCGTTTGAGTCCAACCTTGGACCAACTCACTGCTCATTCAAAGACAGAAAATCAGAAAATGCATAATTACTCTGTAACAGACCTTAACATGAATTCTAACTTTGCATGAGGATTAAAATCATTGTTACTGTTTCACAGTGAATAAAAATTGATTAGTTCACTACAACATCTGAAATGGTTTGAACTAAAACACTTTGATTATCAAACATTTGTAAAATAGTAATGATAATAGAAAAGAGAGTGTTCTTTCACTTGAATTCAAGAAAGAAAGTCTCAGGATGGGTCAACCTGTATTTCTGGATTCAAATCAATGAAATGACAGTTCTGTCCCAAATGGTTCTTAAGGTCAAGGTCTTGACCTTAGGTCTAGTTCACTACAGTCCCCCCTTTGGAAATCACCGCCTGTCCATGGGGATGAATTCCAAACATGAACTTACGCCTTCGAATGTCCTTGAGCTTGATGTAATCCAGCAAGGAAAACAAAAGTCAAAAGTAATCCAGCAAGGAAAACAAAAGTCAAAAGTAATCCAGCAAGGAAAACAAAGTCAAAGGTAATTCCACAATGTTCTTGGTAATTCCATTGTGTTGATGATAATTCCATAATGTTGTTGGTAATTCCATTGTAGCAATGCTTTAACCCCCTTGGAAACAGAGTTTGTAATCCATCGGAAAAAGTCATATAATCCACAACGGTAAATCCACAACGATTGGAAGTGTTGATTGATCAGCATACAGAGGGGTTCCCTTGGATTGAACCGAAGATGCGGCCACTGGATGAAGAGTGGAGACCAACGTCAGGATTGCAGGTCTCCTCCAGCGAAGGTCGTCTCTGGGCGACGTCCAGTCTGTGCCGTTCTGGTTCAAATGTGTCATGCAATTATGTGGTTTAAGGTGGGCTTATGAAGGGGATTTTACATAAGGCCTTAAACTATATGCACCTGGTGTGTAAGCTATTATGATTGGGAACAGCTACAGCTACCAGTTAAGGGGTGGAACATGCTGAAAAGGGTGACTATAGGGGTTTATACCTATAGAAAAGGGTTCCAAACTATTTTTCCATTTCTAACTTGGTTTAAGTTAGCTTTACATGGCAAAATATAGTTTGGTTCAATTGTCTGTTGTCTTTTAGACGAACGACTTGAGATTGGGTGTTTGGTTTCCCATAAATGTTTTGGAAGTCTATGGCGAGACTCATCAAAAAGAATTAGCTATCCCCCCAAATAGAATTGTTCGAGTAGGTTCGGCTTACGCGTTGTGAGATCAATGTAGATTATGGTACTTAAGGTAGCAATAATATACATTGACTCCGCAAAGATTGCAATTTAACGAATGAACTGCATGTTGGCATAGTTAAAACCCTTTACAGTCTCCAACTAAAACTTACACACAAAATTCATTCTTACCTCAGAAACAACCAAAACCGATTCAACAACGTTTCAACACCGACAAGAGTAGTGACTAAGCAACTAGAAACATCGTTTCACTGCTTCACCTCACCCTGGTTGTCAGATTCAGTCACGCTGTCCCGTTTGTTTGTTTCTTTGCACACCTTGTGTGCTTTAACCTGGTTACGATGTACCCATTTAACAGTTGGCTCTTTTTGGCCTTTACTGATTTTTATCTGATAGACAACTGGAGACAGTTTGTCTGTTATCAGATGGGGTCCAGTCCATCTGGGCATCAGTTTATGGGCGAGAGTTCCGGTCCCGGACACTCTTCTCCCAGTTGTGGGGGCAAACGTGTAGTACCAGACCCTGTCTCCCACTTGGAGTTCCTCGTGAGAGGCCTTTTGGTCGTAGTACGCTTTGCGTCCGTCAGCTGATTTTTCCAGGTTTTTCTGTGCGAAAGCAAAAGTGTTTTTAAGGTGTTTTTCCAAGTCTTTCATGTATTGTTGTGTAGTGTAGGCTGTTGCCATGGCAGCATCGCCTGGTTGGTACAACAGGTGTAGAGGGAGAGTCATTTGTCGACCCGTCATCATCTCGAAAGGAGAGATGCCAGTCGACGTGTGTGGAGTGGCCCTTATGGCCATGAGGACCAGAGGGAGTTTCACGTCCCAGTCCTTGTGGTTTGCGGCTACGTATTTTTTCAAAATACTCACCACAGTCCTGTTTGCTCTCTCAACCTGGCCTGAAGCCTGTGGGTGGTAGCCAATATGGAAGTTGGCTTTGACGCCTAGCGTCTTCCACAGTTCCTTCATTACTTCACCTGTGAAGTGTGTACCTTGGTCTGAGTTCACCCTGAGGGGAAGTCCAAACCTTGAGAATACATGATTCATTAATAACATAGCAGTGGTTTGTGCTGTGTCATTAGGGGCTGGTAGACATTCTACCCATTTGGTAAACGCGCAGGTTACCGTGAGAAAATATTTATTTCCCCTAGAGGTCTTAGTGAGTGGTCCGACCCAGTCAATCTGGAGGTCCGACCATGGAAATGCAATGCCTCTACTATGCAGTGGTGCTCTGTGAAGTGGTCTGGATGGCTGAAACTGGCCACAAACCAGGCACCCTTTTATGTAGTCTTTGACATCCTTTTTCATTCCAGGCCAATAAGCAATCTGTTTTAATGCTTTCAGCGTGGCATTGTCACCCTTATGTCCTGCGGACGGAAGGTCATGTGCATGGACTAACATCACCCCCCTGTGGTCATGGGGGACCACGAACACAGGTGAGGACGTCCGTCCATGAGCGAAAGTTAGGATGCCTTTAAGTAGTTTTAGCTGTTTGCGCAGCTGAAAGAGGACTTTGAGGTCTGGATTGGAATCCAGCTCGTCTTTCGATGGAGTGTATTTGTCTGGGTCAGTCAGATACAGCATCATCGAGTTA